TTTGGTCAGATTTCGACGATGGCACTTCAGGGCAGTCTCCTTTTTCTACTTAGAGAATTAGGAAAACCAAAAAAGTTTCTCTCCTTGTTCCTTCACATCTGGCCGCTCCTATAAGAAGCCTATTGTCTACTGTCACTTTCTACAGGCAATGGAGGAAGGGATATCATACAGGAACAGAAGAAGAGGGAAGGGAGGAGAAGGAGGAGGAGGAGGTGGAGGAGGTGGAGGAGCTGAGGGAGAGATTTCATACATGGCTCCTCTTAGCGATCATGATTTATCATCATTGAGATGACTAGGGGGCCCAAAAATATCCATTCCCATAATCTACACAATCTCAAGGCACCGGACAAAACGTGACAAAACATGAATGCACTCGTGATGGAATTAATAGTTCATTATATTAGCTTGCCAATGTTTTGAGACCAGCAACAGTGAACCACACCAGGGGAAGGGTGTGGGGAGAGAGAGAGAGAGAGAGAGAGAGAGAGAGAGAGAGAGAGAGAGAGACGCCACGCCCGTTGGCCATGGGCCTTCAGTTGTGAAAATAAAAGAAGTCTAATATGGTCAGGTATATACAATTGTGCATTGATTTTTTAAGGGCTGCATCTGGCCCTAATTGTGGTGATATTAGTTCTAAGTTCTGACCCTTAATTAGAGTGATGTTCAGTTGTCAATTCCTTCAATGTGTGATGCTCCCCACCAATAGATGGAGCCTCTCCTCCGGTGGTAGTGCTGTCTGCTCTTATCAGCAGCGCTAACATTGAAAGGGGTGTTTTTCAAAAAAAAAAAAAAAAAAAAAAAAAAAAAAAAAAAATCCTTCAATGTGTGAGTATGCTCTCCCATCCTCTCTCTTCATTTTTCCCTCTCTGAGTCATTGCTTGACACACAGACACAGGGAGGAGATAAAGAACCGTCAGTCAGATTACACACCATCTTACCTCCATCGCTGAAATCTCTCGCAATATTCCGCTTCGGTCTAGACAGTGGGATTTCATCAACCTGGCAGTTGGATGGGGAAGAGCGGTAAGAGACTTTGCAGAGTCTTCTTCTTAAAAAAAGAAAAAGAACAAGAAGAAAAAATGTTGGCAATAGGCCGATCGCAGATTGCAAACCAATAGACAGTCCAAGGCAATAGACAACAGAAAAGTCAGGGAGGCACAAGGTCATAAAAACTCTTAAACCAGCACCAGTACTACATGGCCCCAGGCACATTGAGAATCTGATTGAGCCTCTCCTAAAATGTTGGAGGCTTGGGACAGGGCGTCCAAAGGGTCAGTAGGAAAATCTTTCTCCCATGCCATGGGGTGGCACTACCTAGGCCCAGCCCTGAACCAGAAAAGAAATTCCGGACCCTCCCCCCAAGCAGGCCCTGTTCCGAGTCCCATAACTTTTCAGAGAGGCTCATTCAAATTCTCCAAATGTACTGGTGGGGGGTTTAAACCACAAGTACACCTGGGCCTGGAGACGCTGCCTTATGCGCCAAGCTTTTCCAAGATGCCAGCGGCGCACTATTTTCCGTTTTGGGATGACGCCGCCAGCCATTGTGGTCCTATAGGCCTGAGGCGCGAATTTTTCCTAGTAGGCGACAAGCTAATCTCCACAAGACTGGGGCCATGTACTGGTGGCCATAGGCAATTGAAGGCAGCCAGGGACACAAGGCAATAGACAATCCCAAAAAAAAGAAAAGAAAAACTTCAAAAACAAAGAAAAAAAAAGAAAAAAAAGAAAAAAAAGAAAAGAAAGACAATCCAAGGAGCCCACCAATAGATGGAGCCTTCGACGCCGGGTGCCTACGTATCGGGGATGCTCTTATCACCTCGCTAAGTAGGTTTCCTGTATACGAAGTTTTCTTTAAAAAAAAAARAAAAARAAAAAAAAAARMAWGGAMWAWAWHAAMAAMTTTTTTTTTTTTTTTTTTTTTTTTTTTTACTTAGAGTCTGAGTGACCGCTCTAGAGTGATGGTAAGAGCAGCCACTCTTAGGGGTGTCATGATCATTTTTTATTATTTTTTAATGTGGTCTAACGGAGCACGGATCAGATATTGAACTGATTACAACAGATACTACACTTTAAACTATTTTTTAATTTTTAGCCTAAAGGCCAAGAAATGGCGAGAAAGGTATTCTTTGTGTCATCATCATTATTACATCCTTTATGAAAGTGTGCAGCGTTGCCCTTCCGCTTGTGAGGTGGTGGTGCTGGTGGTGGTGGTGCAGACGATATACATCATTCGGTTCCGTCACTGTTGTTTGTTGTTACTGTAATCATCGCAATGAGTACTTAGTACTAATTAGTAATTACATCATCGCGATACCATCATCATTCAATTAAATTACCTCTCTTTTGATCAATTACAGTTATTGTGCGACAGTAGTAGTAATTTGTTGTTACTGTTACAGTCGGTCACCGTTACTGCTACTGTAACAGTAAAAATAATAACCAATTGATGAAATACTTGTAACAGTACGAGTAACAGTAGCAAGGTGTTTAGCAGGTGAAATTACCTCTCTTTTGATCAATTACTGTTACTGTGCCACAGTAATAGTAATTCGTTGTAACTGTTACAGTCGGTCACCGTTACTGCTATTGTAACAGTAACAGTAATTATAATCAATTGATGAAATACTTGTAACAGTGCGAGCAACAGTAGTAGTGTTTAGCAGGCAAAATTACCTCTCTTTTGATCAATTACTGTCACTGTGCGACACTGTGACAGTAATAGTAATTCGTTGTTACTGTTACAGTCGGTCACCGTTGCTGCTACGGTAACAGTAACAGTAATTATAACCAATTGATGAAATACTTGTAATCTGGCTGCAAAATTGCGACTCAATGCATCTGTTCAAAAGTCCGAGATTGAAGTATGGATATGGGGCATGCTCAGCTAGAAGACAAAGATATGATCAGCCCTTTCTCTTTTTAATTTAAATTCAATACAATCAATAGCTATTCGCAGCCGGAAGGCTGCGCTATACCCGGTTGCATTTTTGGCGCGCAGCGGGTTTCCTGATCGGGAAATGTCGACAACATACATGCGGCGCATCGACATGCGCTGCACCGTGCAGTGCGCACGACGCGCGCGCATCGCATGCGACGCACTCTGGAATCGGGGGGTCACCAAAAAAAAACGAAAGTTGGGGGGGGGGGGGAAGGGTGCAAGGCCGGTAGGCACTTCGCGCCGCCGGTTAACGAAAAAAAAATATTTTTTTTTTAGGGCGC